ATTTCGTAGCTAATTAGTTGATCGCATCTGTATGTATACACATATGTATTTGAGGTGTGCATAATAACTTATGCGTATAACTTGTTTTTTTTTTTAATATCTAAAATTCTTTCAGATGACTACAACATAAACCTATTCAATCCCATTGAAGGCGAAGGTGCTGATGGACGGCCAGTTGTAGTGCCAGCGCGCGATAGCTTCCGCATGCAACGATTTTTCAAGCTAAATAGTTTTAATATACTGGCCAGTGACCGTATACCCTTGAATCGTACGTTAAAAGATTACAGAATAAAAGAGTAAGTGCACAACAAACCACTGACCATAGAAAATCAAGCTTAGTACGAAACAAACTAAAACATTAAGATCATCAACTTCATTGCCCAAAAAATGCACCAAAACACGGAAAAAAAAGTATAAAAAATAGCCCACACTCAAATGTTTAGTATTGCAGTGACCCTGAAATTCTGACTAGGCATAAAAATCATCAAAAGAAAAACATCACAAATTATTTGTGTTAGCGCGTACGCTTAATTGGCTTATGTATATATATTTTTGTTTTTTTTTTGCTACAGGTGTCGTGACAAAAGGTATGACCACAACGAACTACCCACAACATCAGTGATAATAGTTTTTCATAATGAGGCCTGGTCGGTGCTCTTGCGCACAATAACCAGCGTTATCAACCGGTCGCCGCGTAAAATGATCAAAGAAATAATTCTTGTTGACGATGCTAGCGATCGCTGTAAGTAAACTGACAAAATAAATAACTTTAAATAGCTATGCATCTTTGTAGTTTGCATATCTTTAATTAATTTCATAGCCGTTGTCAAAATGCAGTAATTAACACATTTAACACACAACCTTTCAAAGCTTTTTTGTTTTACTAACTTGTATATGTATTGTTGTTCTACAGCTTACCTGAAGAAGCAACTCGAGGCCTATATTAAAGTACTTACGGTGCCAACACGTTTGCTGCGCATACAGAAACGCGGCGGCTTAGTGCCAGCGCGCTTGTTGGGCGCCGAGCATGCTAAGGGCGACGTTTTGACCTTTTTGGATGCGCACTGCGAGTGCACGCGCGGCTGGTTAGAGCCATTGCTGCAGCGTGTGAAGGAGTCACGCACCAATGTGGTAGCGCCGGTTATCGATATAATTTCCGATGATAATTTTAGTTATACAAAAACATTTGAAAATCATTGGGGTGCTTTTAATTGGCAGCTCAGTTTTAGATGGTACAGCACCAGACGCAACAGAGCAACGCCAAAGAGTGACCGCACTGAGCCGATCGCGTCACCGGCCATGGCTGGTGGACTATTTGCAATCGACAAGAGCTATTTCTTTGAAATTGGCTCATACGACAAAGAGATGAAGGTACGGATGTGCTTGAAAATTGGAATTAAAGGAGTAATNCGCGATTGCAATGCGCATCCCAAGTCTATGGATATGTATGTCGTTACACCGAAAGGACAAATCATGACTAATGATAATGTGTGTCTGACGTACAGAGAGCCGAAGT